TTTCGATCGTAAAAATAGTGCAAAAGCAAATAGCATTTTATTTATGACGGTATAACAATAGTTTCAATGAATGTACTATGTTTATGTTTGTAAAGTGATTGTCTATTAAAGTTTTAGCTTTACAGAGTGTTTTACTTATGTAGTTATTATTGTTTTGATATTGACTTTTCAACGATAAACGACTGTCTTGTTCTTTAATACGCATATCGTTCTATGGTTTTTCGGACATAATTACGATTCGGATGCGCGTTAGTTCGATAATCGTTAATAAATCGATTAACGATTATGTATGTCAGCAGTATTTATTCATGTCGGGCGAAAATTTTCTGTGATGTTGTTTTTGACCTTTCAGAAACTATAACAACGTAATGGTGTTCATCTGGTGACGGTTCAGTATTAGTTGGATTTTAGATATCTATAAAGTCTTAAAGTATGTTTTCAGCGAATTGTTATTTAATTTGGTTCTCTTCATTAACCGAATCGACTAAAATATCTAGTAAATTGTAATGAAACTCTCCAAAAGTAATCGTGATCTTCCTCGCCATAAAGAAAGATAAATCTTCCATAAAGATTTGTAGATTGTTGATCACCCAGAGCGATTATTCCGATTTCTAAAGTTTTAAAGCTTAACTGCTTGAAGTCTTCAAAAGTTCATTTTCTACGCAGTTGCGTTAAGTCTTTCTTAGTTCAAGCACGTCCACGTGACTTAGATATTATATCAGTGTTCGATGGTCATGAATATATAGGAATAGCTGACGAAAGCTTAATTCAGGACAATATATTATCGGACAGCTTTGACTAAATCGTGTTATTCGGAATATATCGGTCGATTTTTTTTTTATTGCTTAGTTGGGTGGACGAGCTCACACCTGGTGTTAAGTGGTTACTGGAGCTCATAGACATCTACAACGTAAATGCACCACCCACGTTGAGATATAAGTTCTAAGGTCTCAAGTATAGTTACAACGGCTGCCCCACCCTTCAAACCGAAACCCATTACTGCTTCACGGCAGAAATAGGCGGGGTGGTGGTATCTACTCGCGCGGACCCTCAAGAGGTCCTACCATCAGTAATTAACCAGATTAATTAAAATATAAAATAACATAATTTAATAGTAATTTCCCATCAAAAATATTCGTTACCAAAATGATGTAGCATCCGCATCTAACGCAACCGAAATACGGGTAGGTCTTTTGTGCTGTTTGGGTCCAACACATACTTTGGATTGGTGTGTGATTGAGTGAACACCTTATTCATACTGACACTCGGACAATGAAGGAATGCAAGAATATGACAATTCGTGCACACTGTTAAAACACACGACAATTATATTTTGCGCTCGAGTACGGTCAGGTGTCACAACACCGTTCGTAGGGTTTTGATCTTCAAAATCATATTTCCGAAGGAAATGGCTTGGAGAACATCTTTTATTGAGGACGAAACAGTAATATTTATATCTTTTTTAAGTATGTTTTCACTTGAAAACCGTAACTAAAGGCAGTAAATGTTAATTATAAAAAAATAGATTGAAGCTATTCGCGACTGCACACGTTTACGTGGGTATCCTCGAAAATTACGTTAGGGGATATCGGATAGAATATTAATTAAATGCTCCCTTACATTGTATCGATGATTTTTATTTATAGTATTGGTAATGTTCCGATTTTTTGCTTGTGTTTAGTGGACTATTTTTGTTTGATTTGTAATGCAGTCTTAATTAACAATCCATCAAATTCATGATCGTTACGAGGCATCGTTACGAGAAGCACGTGGTTCGGTAATCACAAATTCTTATCATAAACTGTGTGATTATAAACTAGTCGTAAAGAATCTTTTGTAACATCACATTGTACAATAGTCTGTGATTAATGCCGTCTACTAACTTTTACTTGTTAAAAAATCTTTCATAGTCTCCGTGCGCTGACCCGTCAAAAAATGGCTTTGAGTTTTTTGACTTATCATTATTTTCACGTTCTTCTAATTCTTCGTTCAACGCCACAATACCTTTTAGAAGCGTTACATTATTAATTAATTTTCAATTTAGTGCAATGAAAATTATTAAAGTAAAATGTAAATAAGTAATCACTTTGTTATACTCACGGCCTCGACTGAATCCCTTTCTCGTAAAGATGGACAATGAATATACTTTACATTGACATTCAAGCTGACTTCGCTTAAGTTAATGGCAGTTCGTGTACATTTCACAACACAAAAATGGTCAGAAGATTTTTGTATTCAAGTTAAATATTCACAGTTGTAAATGTAATTACAGTATTAGTACTAACCGACTAACGTCCTGACCAAATTTAAGACGTAAACTTTGAATTCGAAAACTTTAAAATATAAATTATTCCATGTTATATACATATTGTTATATCTTTTAACATTTCATTCAGCATAACCTAGTTAGGGCTCCGACATTCATTACGCCCTTCGTTGAAGCGTGAAGTCTGTGACCAAGACGAACAAAGAAAGGAAACGGGACGACGTCTATTCACAGAGGACACATAAAAACCGATAAAATTATAAATAGTGAACATTCATTTTCGGAATGTCCGGTCACCGTCCTCGTCGAACCCGTCGCTTGCGACGAAGGGCTCAACGAGCGTATTAATTTGTAGACACAGCCCACTGAGTTTCTCGCCGGATCTTTTCAGTGGGTCGTGTGGTAGATTCTGTGAAGCACTGCTCTTGCAGGGCAGGGCCAGTGCTAGCAACACTTCTGGTTTAAGCCCCGTGAGCTCACTTACATGTTTGGGTGAAGCTAAAATAGTCTCTCAAGGCTATCAGCATAGGAAAAAAAATAACGGAATGTATGACGGACGAGGCTGTTTGTATTTTTGTTTGTGCAGCGTACGGAATGTTTACGATTCAGGTGCGAGCTTGGAATGTTGAATGAGTTAAAGTGTAATTTATGGTCATTAAAAATGTAACGATGAGATATACTGTATGGTATTTCTGAGTAACAATCTGTGTGTATATGTACTTATAGAATCGCGGCAATGCGTTTTTGTTTCAAAAGATTAGACACGTGCTTTCCGTGATTCCTTGATGTTGAAGGCTTTTACTAGGCAATAATTTGCTCAGTCACTCGCGTATATCGTTGCCTATATCTTCCCTTGTTTTGTAACCAAATTTCATCCACAGCTTCAAATCCTGATGTGTTTGAAATGAAAACTTCTTAAGTAACGTTGTGATCTGAAACTCGATAAAATGAAAAATCGAGACAACCATAATATAAGATACCAACATATTATCTGTTCATCTATGAGCGGTGACGGACTTAGTCTGATAGATAATGAGATAGCACACTTCTAAAGATTCCAGCGTGTGAATTACATGAGTATATTTTTTTTAATATACCGCGCGAATGGTCCGCCAGAAGAACGATGCCTTAATTATAAATTTAGGTTTGAAAAAAGTCTAGTCTAGGTTTAGTCTCATAAGTAACTTTGATGTGTAGTTAATATTTAAATAAAAAAGGTAATAAAAACAAATTGAAATAATAATATGCATCAATGTTCTATTATGTTAGTTATACTTAATGTTGAATGTAAGATTAGATGCATTTATTTCTTCAATTAGTACGATAACTGTTCGGTATTTAATGAATTATACATTTATACAAACGCGATTCGCTTTCTTAATACAGAAATGTTAAATAAACAGATTTATTTAATAGGACATTTAAGGCGAAGAGCACTAGTTTTTCAAGACTGTGACAGCGAATTGTATCTTACGTTAAAAAAAAACGTTGATAAGTTTTTTTTTATTGCTTATATGGGTGAATGAGCTCACAGCCCACCTGGTGTTAAGTGGTTACTGGAGCCCATAGACATCTACGACGTAAATGCGCCACCCACATTGAGATATAAGTTGTAAGGTCTCAGTATATTTACAACGGCTGCCCCACCCTTCAAACCGAAACGCATTACTGCTTCACGGCAGAAATAGGCGGGGTGGTGGTACCTACCCGTGCGGACTCACAAGAGGTCCTACCACCAGTAACTATGATTACGTAGGGAAAAAAATATCTGTAGTATACTATGCCTTAACAAAAGTTGAATATGCGATGTGTATGATCAGCGAGCAATGGACTATGTAAATAAATGCTGTGTTTAATTTACATTTCACGGCTCATTGAAAGCACTTAAATCTCATCACTTTAATTATCACTTTTCTCTTGTCAGTTGTACATTTCCATTAACTGAAACTGAATTAATGGAATCGACAAGAAAGGGATTTCTTTTTAACAGTGTGACAAAATAATGTTCTGGGACTGTGGTATTTAATGGATTATTACGGTGATTAGGAATCGATCAAAGTAGTGTTCGTGAAAAAAAACACCTTCCTCTTGTGGTCTAGTAGCTAATATTAGATTTAGACAGATTTGGTTCGTTTCGTATAACTTTAAATAGAATGCATGAAATCTGAAAAGATGGTGGAACTAATGCAACGTTACCTGTGTAATTGTAAAATAAAAATAAATTAGTCAAGTTCGGAATCAGCATCATCGAATTAGTATTATCAGTTGTTTTAATGTATCTGTGCAGTTGAAGAACATTTCTGAATAAAATAGCACAGTTTGCATATATTTTTAATATCAGCTGACTCGTTGAACTTCGTACCGCCTAACAGTCAATGAATGTCGTGTTACAGATTAGCAGAACTAAATATGTATCACGTTCTCGTTAAGAGAGCACAACCCAGGCGTATCGTAGCTTGATATATTTTCCTTAGTTTACACCAAATAAATTTCTGAACGCACGCATAAATATTTAAAAACCAATATATATATCTGTCGTGAAGCAGTAATGCGTTTCGGTTTGAAAGGTGGGGCAGCCGTTGTAGCTATACTTGAGACCTTAGAACTTATATCTCAAGGTGGGCGGTACATTTACGTTGTAGATGTTTAAGGGCTCCAGTAATCACTAGTAACACCACGTGGGATGAGAGCTCGTACACAACCTAAGCAAGCAAAAAAAAAATTTTTTTTTCAGACCCTCAAATCTACCCGCGAAATGTACGGAAGAGGCGATGAGGCACAAGGCGGAGCACGCTCGCATGGTCGAAGCGGCTCGGAGACGAGTGGAACGTGAGGCGGCCGCGAGGCACGCGAGACTCCAGGAGTCGCTGCGGCTGGAGGAGCGCCTCGCCAGACACGCGAAGGAGTGGATCCAGAACATATTGCCCGATTGGACTAACATGTAAGTTTCTTGTCCTCATCTTACTTTAGACTGGTCAGTACGTCAAGCACGAAAATTTATCGAATTCGTAATGCTTTTTTTTTATTGCTTATATGGGTGGACGAGCTTACAACGCAAATGCCGGTCTTCGTTCACGTCGAACCCGTTAGGTCTCCCGGCTGAGCCTTTGCTCGCCCACCTGCCCTGGTAAAACTGGAAAGGCCTCCGGGCCACCAGTAACTTTTCAAACATAAAAAAAAGAAATATGTCGAGAAAAAAAAAATCATTTCGACTAAAGTAGTTAATTGTTATTGAAAAATTCAACAACTTACGTTGTACAAAATATTTTAATAAATATAACCTTAAATAATTATTACAAGAAAACGTGCACCTAGAGTGATTTTATTTCGCAAACCGTGAATGGTACTCAAATACATCTCGATGGTCACTTTTCATATACACAGTTGATTCTCCTTACCTCTACCCTCCATAGTTGTAAACAGCCCATAGTTGTAAACAGCCATTAACGACGTCATCCAAGGATGAGTCTGTTTGTCTATGCTAAAAGTGTCACATGCACCTAAACGGGTCAAGCGTTTCGTTACAAACAATGCACTCGTGTTTGTTTACGCGCCGCTCTTTGTCTGTTTATCCTTTTACTTATTGTTTGTGAATACAAAAAGAGAAACGCAATTAGGTTAGGTTAGGTTATTTTTTTCTTCTGCCATCTTGTACTAAAGTTGCCAATCGTCCACTATAATAACCTGAATTATTTTTTTGACGGTTTGAACTAGCGAATAGCCTGCATACGAAAACTGTCAGTAGAAATACTCAGTGCGATAAGACACCATGTTTGTCGTTGAACTCGTCCACTCCGAACTAACCCACCACTGAGTTTCTCGCCGGATTTTCTCAGTGGTTCGCGTGGTAGATTCTGCGAAGCTTTTGCTAGGGCTAGTGTTAGTTAGTGCCTCAGGTTGAGCCTATGAGTTCACATACCCGTCCGCACGTAGTTGGAATACCCTCTTAGGCTACCAGAGAATAGGTAAGGAAAAAAAGACCACAGCTGATGAACTTTTAGTAAATTTAATATCTATTTTAGGAGAAACGCAAAGAGAACTCACGAACTCTGGTGGAGCGGTTTGCCGCCATCGATACGCGGCAAAGTCTGGCAGCTCGCCATCGAGAACAAACTGAACGTCACCTCGGCGACGTACCAGGAGTGCGTCGCTAAAGCCAAACAGAGGCTGCACGAGTCGCAAATGAGGAGGAAACGGTTAAAAGTCAACAAACGTGAATGTTGCTGTAACAAAGAGCAGGACAAGAATTACGAGGCAATAGATAAGATGAAGAGCGACGATCAACATCGGAAATTCGACGAGATGCTGTCGAAGACGGACGCGAAGATCGATAAACTGAAGACGGACGACGAGAAACATCGACTGGGCATCCCGAGGAACTTCAGCGAGCAGAATTTGAAATCGCACGTTCCCGATGCCGAGCCGAAGAAGTGCTGCTCGAAATCGGACCCTAATCTCTTGGACTACAACGACGAATGTTCAATGGAGTTGATCCAGCTCGACATAGCGCGGACGTTTCCCCACCTGTGCATATTCCAGCCCGGGGGCCCGTACTTCGACGTGCTGCACGAGCTGCTGGCCGCCTACGTGTGCTATAGACCCGATATCGGATATGTGCAAGTGAGTTTCATGTACTTTTATTACCACTGCACCGCCGGCATAGTACGTTTCCAGATATCTATTTTGCCACGTACCATCCGGCTTTGCAGGCTTATCAATTATTGTTTTTTTTATTGCTTATCTGGGTGAACGAGCTCACAGCCCACCTGGTGTTAAGTGGTTACTGGAAGCTCATAGACATCTACAACGTAAATGCGCCACCCACTTGAGATTTAAATTCTAAGGTCTCAAGTATAGTAAGTGACAACGGCGGACTCACAAGAGATCCTACCATCAGTAATAACGCAAATTATAATTTTGATTACACGATGTTATTCCTTCACCATGGAAGTCAATTGTGAACATTTGCTGAGTACGTATTTCATTAGAAAAATTGTTACCCGCCTGCGGGATTCGAACACCGGTGCATCGCTACATACGAATGCACCGGACGTCTTATCCTTTAGGCCACGACGACTTATATTATTCGCTGTACATTTGTGTGCTACTTACTACGAGGACGTACGTTGCAGGGCATGTCGTTCATCGCGGCCGTTCTGATCCTGAACATGGAGGCGCCCCAGGCGTTCGTGTGCTTCGCGAACCTGCTGCACGGCGGCGTGCTGCGGGCCGCCTTCACCAGGGACGGAGCCACCATGCAGGTACCTGGGACCCTTGCATAGATCCAGTCACTAAGAGACTGGAATGCCTACTGAGTTTGTGGCCGGATCTCCTCAATGGGTCGCGATTCTGATCCGGTGTAGTTTCGACGAAGCACTGCACTTGCTAGGGTTCGTGTTAGCAAATTCTCTCAAGTTGAGCCTGTGAGCTCACCTACCCGTCCGCACGTAGCTGGAATAGCTCCTTAGCATACCAGTGAATAGGTAGGGAAAAATTGATTGAAACCTTGAGACGTCACAGGAGAAGTCGCAGTTGCTTATTGAAGTTAGACTTCTGATTGAAGTGAAACTTTTAATGCGACTTCCAACAAGGTTGCCGTACTAGAACGAGACAGAGCGAGAGTGAATGCGCGGCACTCGAACGCATGCGCGTAGCATACCTGTTACAGGACAGCGCGAGCGAGCAACGAGTATCTCTTATACAAAGCATTCCTTATTACAAGAGCAATATGATTTAAGGATGAAAAATTAAGAAAGCCATAACACTACACATCGAAAAAGAAGTTTCACTTCATTCACGTGCACCAAGTTGCACGCGCACCGTCTTTTATTAGAGCTGTCCCACACTCGAAGTCTGAACGTCGTATGATCGTCGTATGATTGCAGCGCCTATGGAAGGCCTACACGACGCTGCTGCGGCACAATCTGCCGGGGCTCGCGGACGCGGTGGCGCCCGAGCTGTACCTGGTGGAGTGGCTGTACACGGCCTTCGCCAAGGCGATGCCGCTGGACGCCGCCTGCAGGGTCTGGGACGTCTTCCTCAGGGACGGAGACGAATTCCTCTTCAACACTGCTCTAGGTCAGTTCTACTCGTTTCAGTTTGAAGGGTGGGGCAGCCGTTGTAACTTTACTTGATACCTTAGAACTTATATCTCAAGGTGGGTGGCGCATTTACGTCGTAGATATAAGGGGCACAGCCAAACACTGACATTGCTGAAGTCCATGGGCGACGGTAACCACTCACCATCAGGTGGGCCGTATGCTCGTCTGCCTACAAGGGCAATAAAAAAAAAAGTTATCTATGGGCTCCAGTAACCACCAGGTGGGCTGTGAGCTCGTCATTCCATCTAAGCAATAAATAAATAAAATGAGAAATGATGTCAGGTCTATTCTTGTCTTATATATCAAACCTTTCATTCATATCTACGGCCAGGGCAATTGAGCTGTTAAACGAATTTCTGTCCGAAATCCAAGATGCTGACGTGATTGCCGATAGTTGGGTTATACTATATATAATACTTTTGTCTAAAATAATGTTATTTTAATAATATTTTTTGTGTTAACGAGTTAGGCGTTTTTTTGCAAACTGTAAGCCTGACTTTGTATTGAATTGAATAAATAAAATAAATAAATAATCTAGAGTAGGACATCTGATGGGTTGATACTACCGACCTGCACTATCTACCGCGATGCATTCAACTTCCGATATGAAGGAAGGATTCATGCCTTCATTCCGCAGACTGGACAGGAGAGTTTTCACCACCTCCAGCCCGTACCGAGTTAATCAAACAACGGAAACTAACCGTAGGCATGCGCTCAATTGCAGGCATTCTCCATTTGTACCAAGACGAGCTGAAGAACATGGACTTTATATCCGCGGCGCAGTTCCTGACCAAGCTACCCGAAGACCTGGACCCCGAGGCGCTGTTCAAGAGCATATCGTCGGTGTCGATGACCCTGGACGGCATGAGCTTTGAGGAGCTGGTCTCGTGCTGCGAGGTGGACTCCAGCCTGGACGATGACGTCACGGTCAAGTTATGATATCCGAGGAAGTGGAGTGAGTACGGCTTCCGGCATATCGTGGACGTCCTGTCGTTCCGGGTCGGCTTGTGATGTCCCGCGGACAAGTAAGTCTGAATAGATAACCTAATCTCGTCCCACTCCCATGGGTATAAAGTCGGATTTACGTTACTTCATAGTTTTCGTTCAACCATTTACAACTATTAATCGAAATTCGACCATAATCACAGACACCTCAAAGTTCATATTCATTAATTACATTAATGCTGTATTCTAAATGTTGTAATGTACATCCGAGTTCATGCCATTGTATGTTTCTTCCTCATATAATGATTCGCCATTGAAATTGAATATTTAGATAGGACTCGAATTAATAAATTGTATTCATGTTTTTTAGTAATATTGTCGATTGTCTTGCGTGTAATAAAATACTATAGTTTGGCGGCCATTTTGTGATTCGTGCGTAAATCAAAATGGCGGCCAGACAGTACGATCTTGAATTTTGACGTGTTGTAAATAATATTATAAATATATAATTATAATGAAATAAAAATTTAACTAAGACTTTCACGTTCCGAATTTATTTAGATTTGAATTACAAAAACTATTAATGTAAATATTTTTTATTTGATAAGAGAATCACTGTTAAAATTTCACAATATGTCTAGTAAGTGAGTACATATCATACATTTATTTATATTGTTATTGAGTTAACAAATACATTTAGATGCAGAAAGGTGTTTCGAAAATCAAAACTTAGTAAAAATGTTGCCATATTGAATAAATTATTTGTTCAACTTAAAGGCATAATCGCGATGGGCCCCTTTTAGTTTATTGTAAAAACAATATCACTGATTAATATAAATAATTTAATTCATTAATTCTAGTAACAAATTGTTTATGGTTTATCAACAGTTTTTTGTTCTTATGACTAATAAATATATCATCAATAATAAATATTTATTTACTGTTTAGTACACAATTGATTGTTTTTCTTTTGTGCGATCCTTTTATGAATAGTTATATAAAATTTTTAGATATAAAATAATATAATGAGAAACATTAATCATTTAAAAGATATTGAATATGGCAGTATCCTATATAATATTTTATGTCGTAAAAGAGTTTTTTTTTTTTAGAATCGTATTAAGAGGATGGATCTTAAAATGAATCTATTCGATCGTGTACCTGTTTGTTTGAATATAAAGATATTATAAGATTAATAAATAATATAAATTAATAATTATGTCATCTTGTCTTTGTAGTAATTATTTATCTATTTTTTGTATGTTACTTTATTGTGTGATGCAGATGTTAAAAAGTACTTACGGATTAATCTCTCTGTTGTTATTTGACTTATCGATGTACCGACAAATCATCTTTTCGCATTAAAAGTGTACAATTTCCAAAAATATTCGAAATTGAGTTAATATGCGGAATCATTTGGTATCACCAGTATTTTTCTCATAAATACTGTCAAAAGAGCGTAGTTTACTTTTAGTTTTTTTTTTTAGTTTCCTTTGTTTTGACTTCTATTAACAAAGTTAATACATAATTTTATATTACTTTAAAAGACAGATATTGTAACTGGTAAAAAATAACAAAAAAAATGTTGCAAAGATGATTAATATTAAAAATATCACATGTTAAACCTTTAAAACATTCTCTTGTAAAATAAGTAAGTTTTGATATTATACAGTTTTAATGCGAGAAGACGAAATGTCAGATGTCAAAATTATAAGATAGGGTTAAAAAACATTTTTTTTTTTCATTCAATAAACTATATTACTTTACTGCAGTTTTCGTAGATACGGACGACCATAATGTAATATAATGACAATAAAAACGCGAGATTAAACCGTAAAAGTAGTTTTAACTCCACTGAGTACAACAAAAATCAACATAATTACTTCAGTGCGCCGCGTAGGTCACCGGTGACCTACACCTGGCAATCAAAGGGTTAATTGTATGTACGAGTTGCGAAATCCGAAGAACAATATTATAGTGTGAACCAATTATGTAATATGAAAACTAAAAAAATTTCACTTTATTAATTACTAGCACCCCAGCTCCGGCTCCACACGGGTCTTTAAAAAAAATTGACGTTGTTTTATTTTTTAAAAATAAAAGAACACTTATTGCGGCATAACTATAATAGTTAGACATATGCTGTCGTGACATTTTTTCTATCATCAATAGTTTTCGCTGGGCACGCGATGTAAAGAATATTTCAGGAATTTTTTTACACCTTGGGTTACATTATTGAAGTTTTAGTAAGGATCCCTATTTTTTTTCAAAAAAGATTATTGCCTATGTCACTCGGGAATAGTGTAGCTTCAAAACAGTGAAATAATTTTTAAAATCGGTTCAGTAGTTTCGGAGCCTATTCAATACAAACAAACAAACAAATCTTTCCTCTTTATAATATTATAGTATAGATTAATTTTCAATAGACCCAGATTGAGATATTCTTAACAACAAAATGTTTATTGGTTTTTATTAAATGATTTGCCAGCAACCGCCAGTACTGTTTGTCTTCGTTTTACGGAACCATCATATAAATATATACACATAAAGTACATATTAAAGATATATTATTATGTAGTAAGTTAATATTTAAGGAAACAAACAACGAGTAGTAAACCGGCCTAATAGATAATTTGTATCATTGAACTATTTGTAAATATATACATATATAGTTCGCTAGAGATATATTATTATAAATAATTAGATATAATGCGGTATATTATTATGCGTTAATATATTTTGTACTATGTAAAAAAATATGTGTGTACATCATTATACACTACTTAGGGGACGCTACATCAAAATCTCCAGCAAATAAATAAATTCTGATATTCAGTTAATGAGGTTGGTTAAACACGCCAGTGGCTTTAATAGTATTTGATTTGATTCTAAAAATTTTTTTTTTTTTTAAATCGTTACAGTACATAGGCCTTCGCAAGCGTAATTCAATCGTCATGACTTCACCACAGACTCGGGCCGCGTTTCTAGAAGATTCTAGAAGGTCCGGCCTGGCTCTTTTCGAACGAGATGTACAACATACAAAATATTACTAGAATATTACAAATTGTATTTTCAAGTCACTTAGTGTTTTGTGAAAGACAGTTATTGTCTCGTTTCGTATGTTCCCACAGAGCCAGATACTCCTAGTATTGACCCTTCGAGTATAATTGATACTATACTAGGTATATCTATATAGTATACCTATTATTTATATTAGTATTTATACGTACGTATCTGAGATTCGTCAGTTCGTGTACTCATTGAATAATATATTTATTTACGCGACTGCTGTAAAAGGGTTATTTTTTTCGAGCGTATGTATGTAAGTAGTGTAATTCGTTGGTACCATACAACGTGAACCTTTTGACGGATTTTAACATACGAGGTGTCATTTTTACGCGCGGACGGGTTAGGTGAGGCTCATCCTGTGAGAATTTCATAACACTAGCCCTAGCAAGAGCAGTGCTTCGCTGAATCTAGTACCGGATCGAAATCGCGACCCACTGAGAAGATCTCTCCTCTCCGAAGAAACTCAGTGGGCTGTGTCTATGGGTTTAGTTCTAACGGCGAACTCTTCGTCGTAATCGACGAGTTCGACCGGTGTGCTTAGTGCGAGTTTTTTAACGTTCTCTATAGCGTAAAAGTTAGCTCATATTTGTATGGAATTGGATCGTTGGCTACGTTTGCCGCTAAGGGCGCTGTTCTAACTGCATACAAAATTGGGTTAACTTTTACGCTATCGAGAACGTTAAAAAACTCGCACCCAAGCACACTGGACGGTGACCAGACGTTTGCACTCAAATCTTTTTAACTGACATATAAAATACAAATATTCGTTTTTTTACGTCGATAGTTCTTTATTGAAGTATTGTTTAATTAATTAATCATGAAATATTAAATTTATAATGTTTTTTTTACTTATACCGCCGAACGAGATAATTGTGTTTATACAGAGGAAAAATTAGTAGAATTTTAAACAAATTAGTTCTCAGCGCTAAAGGCAATTGCAGATATCAAAGATTGAATTTTCAAATAACATGTTGGTCTAACACATTAGATTATGTCAATGCCACCATTTTTAGCTTAAAATTTCATTAACGTAACTTTAAAACTCGAGATCACAGAAAAATGCAAAATAACTTTTATTTATTAATTACCTAAATCTAGAATTTCTAGATTTAAACTTTTATTACGGATGTTAAATGATAAAGTGTGTGATTTAATCTTACGCCGATTCTATTTGGTGCGAAAAAGGGACAGAGATACATGTTTATTTTCACGGTACTTTTTATTCTAAAACTATATAAACTATTGCACCATTTTGGTATAGAAATGATATTAAACGAAGAATATTTTGAATATTATTTTTTCATAAGTTAACTTTTAATGACGGCTTCGATAATTAAGTCGTATGTGAAATAAGTTTGAGACTAAACTGGGTGTATCATCTAGCTCGAGAAAGAGATAGCGCTATCTCTCTCACAAATACAACCGTTAAATTATAATAAGCTATTAATGATGAGGAGGGATCGCTGTCTCGCTCTAAGTTCCGGATAGTTGTAAAAATTATCACCCCGAATTTAAACGAGTGGCTTCATATGTTGTTATTTTATAAGGTAGGTAAACAAATCAGAAAAGCATGGAAAATAAATTTAATTAAATAAATCATTTGAATCGTTCAAAGAATAGTGAAATTTAACTGCGACATTTTAAAATTTAAATTCGTTTGAAGTACGTAATAATTATAAAAACACACGTGATTCGGACTGATATTATTAATGTTAAAATGCCATTTAAAATAAGTCTAGTTTTAGGTTCTTTGTAAATATAAAAAATACAATGTTTAATTAAAACGAAATCATGCCCCAATAAATCATTTTGTAACATAATAAAAATAAATATTGCGAGAAAATTTGTTTTGTTTTTATTTGGAAGATCATTCATAAAAAAAGTATGCATCCATTTGACCACTTTTAGTATACTATATTTGTACTATACTGAAACCTTAAAACTCTTATATCAAGGTGGGTGGGCGGCGTTACATTGTAGATGTCTATGGGCTTCGCTAACTACTTAACACCAGATGGGCCGTGAGATCGTCTACCCATCTAAGCAATAAAAAACTATCAAACTTGAACCACTCGAAGGTGAAGTTCAAATCGCGAGGATTGATCAAATCTTATATCCATCTCATCGATTGCCTAAATTACTTCGCTCGAGCACATACACAATGTGATTTAATAATATGAAAACATAAGCCCAATGCGCATTTGGTGTTTACCGAACACCATAGCCACGTATGTGCGGCTTGACCTGTAGCGTAGCGAGGGAGGGCAAAAGGGGTCATCATGGCCCGGGCGCTACTCACAAGGGACGCCAAATGCAAAACAAAAAAATACTGGACAATTTTAACTTTTATTATGATTGACTTCTGTAAAATATATTTTAAATTTAGTGCTAGTGTTATATAATAAATATTAATTCGTAAATAAAAATGAAAAAAAAAGAACAATAATAGTCTAAATAGGGGGGCTAAAAAGGTATTGTGCCCCGGACGTGAGTTAAGCTCGCTACGCCACTGGTCGCAACCTACCCAGGAGTAAATTAATCCACAGACACAACCCATTGAGTTTCTCGCCGGATCTTCTCAGTGGGTCGAGTTTCCGATCCGGTGGTAGATTCTGCGAAAGACTGCTCTTGCTAGGGTTAGTGTTAGCAACGTTGTCAAGTTTGAGCCCCGTGAACTTACCTACTTGTTAAGGTTAGGTACGCTGAAATGGCCTCTCAAGGCTCAGCTTAGGACAAAAAAGAGAGTAAATAATCCGACTATGTCTCTTCAGTTTGCGTATTGTTCATATAATAGTCAGTATTAAAGTACTCGAACATACAAGTCCGGCCCACACCAGCTACTGAAGCTGGCAAAATCTGTTTTCCAGTGTGTAATACAATGTATAAGTCCATGCAATGTAAAAGTCCACGGGCAATTACCATCTACTACTACTACTACTATATCGTTCCCTCACTACTGAGGATCGCGACCACATGCGATGTACTTCCAATGCACCCGATCATGGGTGGCATGGACTGCATGCTCATAATTACGGGTCGAATAGAAGGCAAGCGCGCCGTGGGCAGAACACCAGCCAGATGGTCAGATCTGGCAAGAGAAGCACTCGGTGGTAGTCTGTACCATGCGGTCCATGCCACCCAATTACCATCGCCCAACCTTATTCTGCCGCGAAAAAATCGCGTGTTCCGGTTCAAAGTTTTAAATACCCGTTGAGCCATTAATACTATATGTAACTGATTAGATATATTATTTTATTATTTTAATGAATTACGAATGTAATTAAATTCTTTATAACTATAATTTATGAATGTTAGGTATATGATAAGTTGACATTTTAGTAATCCTCAATTAATTCTATATTTATTTTATATTTTCACACTTTTTATTTAAGTAAGAACATGCTGGAATGTTAAAATTTTATAATACCATTCATCTATGTACCATGTGTCTGGAAAATAAATCATTTGAATTGAAACTTCAATTCCATCTCTCAAAATGAGTAGCGGCATCTGTTATCTATGGGTTCTAATAACCACTTTTCATTAGGTGGGACGTGAGTTCGCTTACCCATGTAAGCAATAAAAAAGGCGCATCCAAAGCCCCTGTCTCAGCATCTCTTCTTATGGTTGTTCATGATGTTGGTATTAGGAAAATTGAAACAGTTTTCTTCTCATTCTTGTTCTGATATTTTCATTAATGGCTGAACTGTCCTGCCTCTTGTGATGATGAGGAGTATTCGAAGCTGAAGACACAGGCGTCAACGATTTCGGGTTTTCGGTGGTCAATGTTTTAGAACTGACATTGCCACTGGACTTGCTTCCGAATAGCTTCCAGGATACTCCAGAGGATGAGGAGTCGTGGCTTTTAGATGAACTGTTGCTCTTCCACGGAAACACTCCTCTGTAACAATAAAAGAAAATCTTTAGACATTCAGTATTTTATTGATATATTTGTTGATATTGATTTAGACGTTAAACTCTTAGGAAAATCAAGACGTCACCAATATGCGGTCCAATCTCTGCCTGCTACTGAACTCTTACTCAAACGAGATTTTCAAATGGATATACCGTAGCGTCAGAGATTTTT